GAACAGGGATATTTTGTTTTCAGTCTTGACCAGGAAGCCCCCTTTATTCCAGAGAAGCTTTCTCAGCAAAGCATACTCCTGTATAGTTATGCTGTGGGTTACCAATAAAGAGACCACCCAAGTTGTTTTCATTTTGGAAAAGGAGAGGAGAAAAGCTAATACATCACTCCGCAGCATGTACTAATACCTCTGCCAACCATCCATTTCACTTTCTGTGACCTACTCACATCCCCCCCTAGAAAAATGGCCCCCATGAATGAATAATCAGTTCTTCAATAAGGACACAACTATTCCCAAATAACTTCGACTACTTGCCCCATGCACATGCAAGTCTTCCCACCTCCCCACATAAACTTTCTTGTTCCCAAGATGGACATGATAGACAGGTTTTTGGTTAGTTCACCATCTATCTTGCCTTGCTAGTCTGGTAAACACTGACCATTTTTATTTACACTCCTGTTGAGACAAAGTGGTCAGCTGCCAACCACAAGTGTAAATTATTCAAGGTCCCCATGATTGCAAAAATGAAATCATTTACTTTAAGCTGCATTGCAATATAAAACACTTACAGAAGCCAGGAAGCAGGCCCTTCACAGGCACTTCTGTACCACCCAACCTCTATTCAAGTGCTATCCATTCAGTCCAGCCTTTCTCTGGATGTTTATAGGCAGTTATACAGCAGTTTCTGTCACCATCATCTTACTTAGAAAGGGACTCAGACAAGAGAGACTTGTAAACTGGGAGTCAGTTTTGAGCATGATACAAAACTTAAATAGAGTTAAAAAAAAAAAAAAAAAGCAATGGTCCACCCAAGCCTAGAGGTCCATGAGACCCATGTGGGAAGGCACTCCAGGTTCTGAAGCCAACAGCACACCAGTGAGAGCAGTGGCAGCATCACACCTGGTCAGCTTAGACTCTGCAACCCAAATGATGAGCTGCCCAATTTACAGCTGGGTCAACCAAGGACAGTCTTTAGCAAAAATCTGAAGGGAGACTCAAATTCACACCTCTGGAGCCAGAACAAGATGCTCATCTGTTAACTGAGGGATGGTGGCAGAGCAGTAACCATCTACAAGATATTGCCAAAGGCTTTTAATGGCCTCAGGCTAAGCAGACTTGCCTTCCAATTCAGCATCTTCTCTCTCTTGCTTTTCCCTATGCAGACAGCTTGAGGAGAGATGCCTACGGTTCCCAAGTCACTCCTCAAATCCCCCCAGAGTGATATCAACACAGCAAATTCCCAGTTTCCACTGACAGGAAGAGAGAAACGTTAATGGACAGATGGCACATCAACGCCCCGTTTCCCCAGATTGGAAAGGAGATGTGGTAAGAATCTGGAGATCCCACATGGTCCATCAGGGCCTAGCTATTATTACTCATTTCCACCCAATTTTCACTAAAGGTTAATAGTTTAATAATATCCTCAGTTCTCTAGCTCTTTTAGTTGGAAGAGTTGAACTCTCTGCTTCATGTTATTCTGCAGATCCCCTTGGCAGAAACAAAACAGGGACTGACAAAACTTGTATAAAGAGAGGAAAGAGGCAGCTTGGCACACCCAAGAAAGCTCTGCTAATAAAACCAGTAACCTGTGAACAAGCTCTCCCATTTCCCTAATCATGCTTGTTGATTAGGGGAGAAAGACACTAAACAGTAGTTCAGAGAATCCTTCTGATCTCAGGCTTTGAAGGAATAAGGTTTAATGGTGCAGGCATCCCCATTAATAAGCATGTTTACAGTGCTCAGTGCACCCATATCAAAATACTGCACTTCTAAAAATAAGGACAATACACAATGAAACAGTCAAACTTTAAAAGTGTATCTGGATGATTAAAGTAACCCAAGACACAGGCCCTGAAAAATCAGGCATCTGAATAACCAATTGTTCAGCACAGACATTTCTTTCCTCCACGTGCTCAGCAACTCACATTTCTTTTTGACAGCGGCAAACAGGTGGCAGAGTGGGATGAAATTGGGTTATATCAGAGACAAGCCTGGCAGCACAGCTGTAATTAAGGGTATCTTAGATTTTCCATATTGAATCCAGATTGCTTTTTTAGAAGAACAGTTTGTAACTTAAATATTTTTGCTTTGCGCTTGTTCTCTAAAGCACCCGTAGTTGCAAACTTTTTGGTGCTTTATAAATAATGTGTAAACCACCTAATCTAACTGTCCCTCCCCAAAGCAAGAATCTTGAGTGGACCAGTCATAGTACAAAGCCCTGAAGTCCAGAGTGTCCAAACAACTTTGGAAAATGAGATCCAGGATGTCATTCTCTGGCTGCCAACACCCAAACCCTCAAATCTAGGGTCTGACCACAGAACACATCGACTGATTTTCCCACCAGAAAAGCCTTGTAGTTGAGTTCATAGAGCAAAACAAGACAGCATGACCTGACATTAGCTCTCAGAAGCAGGAAGTACCACATTCCTAAATGCTAAGTTTGCCTCTATATACTACATTTAACTTACAAGAGGCTAATGCTTACTGGTTTCACTTGTACCAGGTGAGGATCTGATCTTCAATGCAGAAAAGGATGCCTCATCCATCCAAGTTAATCACAAACAGCTAACATGACGTTAACATGACAGTCCTAGTTTACATTCACAGCAAATGCAAAATTGCAATTATTAGTTGAACATTCCACTACATTAAGAGATTGCTGTGTGACTCAAGGCAAGCCAATCCACTTCTGTGTCTCATTTTGCCATCTTTAAAACACAGGTAAAAGGGCAGCAGCACTCCCATGTGCAGAAGAGCTGCACTCCAGACTTGGAGAAGTAGCTGCTTGGAAGACAGCCCATCCAGCACAGGTTCTTGGGAATAACAAATAAGGATGGGGATAGACCCTCAGAATAAATATCACTCAGGTATCACTGGCTGAGGAATCTTAATGGAAGGGTCCTCATTTTAGGAAACATGACCCAACAAAACAGCTTGATCACAGAAGAGTCCTTGGGCAAGTCATTAGTGCAAAGTGAACTTGGGTTCAGGCACTGGACCTTGCAAAACCTGCCTGCAAAAGCCTACACTAGCAAGCTAAACATAACTCATGCCTTGCGCTGATGTCAGCACTGGTGCTCCAGTTACCCGGGGTCTGCTCTAGCATTTCTGGGATTGTATCTGAGGTCTCTTGGCAAACTAGCAACACTTAGCAACCTGCTAACTCAAGCAAGTCTAGGAATTGATCTGCATTAAGTTGTGATCCAAACTGTCTGTGCAGAATGGTTCTTAGATCATTGACATACTTAACCAAGGCATGTGCAGCGCTGCAAACTCCTTGCTTCTGTCCATTCTTCATGGTGCCTCCAGAAGCACTAGATGAGCTATTTCTGTCTGTGGGTGAGTTGTTACTGAAGCAGGACATGGTTAAAAGATGTAGAAGACTGTGAAAGGAATATCAGCATGAGTTTGACCCTCTGAAGACATCAAAAGGTCTCAAAGTTCTTTCATGCTGGCTGTTGACTTGACAAAATGGGGCTACAATGACTTCAGATTCCTCATATACAGACCAATACTTCTGGGGCAGAATAAATAATATAGAGTGGAGCCGTCACATCATCATGCAGACCAGGAACAACCAGCAGTGGCTCTAGAACTTCCAGATAAGAATATAGGCCTCCATGAAGCTGTATAAATAACTTACCTCAGCCTTCACTGAAAGGACACATGGTATAAGGGACATCACTGGTCCAAATGTAGGTTGGCATTACCATTTGAAAGCTGGCTACCCAAAAATGTTACAGGTCTGTGCCTAAGCCATTCATTGTTGTCCAGTTCATTGTGCTGTACTAATGGCAATGTGCAAGGAAATTAACACTGTGGTCTGTGCATGGGGGCAGATGCAACTATTATGCTTGGAAAAGCAGCTGCATTTAACAGGACTTCCCAAACAGTTCTGGGGCCATTGGTTGCACCCATGTGTTCATATAGTCCTGCACCAGGGAGCACAAGACTAGGTAAACCAAAGAGGAAGCTACTCCACTGTTCTGTAGGTTGACCACAAAGGCAGCTCATGAAAGTTCACTTGGGGTTAGTAGCAAGGTACACAACACCATGTGCAGAGAAGATTGGGAAAATATCTGTTTACACGTGCAGGGACCTTACCACTTTATTGATGGGGGATGTAGGTCCATTCTTATTTTAGGCCAGGGATCCTACTTACCGCTATGATTTGTAATAAAACCACCTGGCAGAGGAAGACTTTATTACATACTTAGCAACTGTAGGACTATGATACAGTGTACGTTTGATAGGCTGAGAAGAAGACCATTTGGAAGCTGATGGGGACATTGCCATCTGCATTATTGATCCCTGCTGCATCCTGCATGATATCTGCAAGGATAAGGTCGAGATTTTGCCTGGAGTGGGTTTGGGAAACTGCTAGTCCAGTGAGGCAACCAGACAATGCAGCTGTCATTACTGGGACTGGGACCACAAGGGATTCTTTCTGCATCACTATTCTTGCATCACAAGGTGAGATGCAGAAGGGCAATGTGATATGTGTACTATTGCCATTCATATACCACTTTATTTGCAAATTTGCAATTATAAGGCCTTGTCTACCCAGAGTCACTTAGGGGAGTTAAGACAAGGTGCGAAACTGATACAGTAAGTTAACGTGTTAAAACCCTATGTGGAAATTCTCATTTGTGTGTGAATTGACCTTATACTGCACCCTAAGGGTTTTAGGGTATTAAACATACTCTCACATACATGCATTGCGTTTACATTTTCAGCTAACTTGCCTTAACTTTTCACGGGCTCCCAGTGTAGACAAGCCTTTAGAGACTTCTCTGTTTGATTGAGACTTTTGGCTACAACTTCCTGACCTTGCCTCCTTTTTCCAAGGACTTGCATGGCAAGATATTTTGTAACCAAACCAATTTATTAACAAATAAAAAAACCCAAACTCATTGTGAAATCCATTGCAGGCATCCCAGCTGCATATACCACCACTAAACCCCACCCTGCATAAACAGAGACACTAACTCTCCCTGGCAGAAATGCGCTGGCTGTCTTTATTTCCAGCTGTATGGGATGCACAGGGTAGAATACATGGGAAAGATCTGCCTATTCTAGTTCATAGAGTGATTCACAGTCCACCCAAACCCTAATGTACGCAATGGCTGCAGGACATGATGGTGCGGAGGAGAGGCTGTAAATGCTGGAACTGAACACTGCAGTCTGGTGGCCATCAGGAAAAGCAGTTATTCGAAGTGCTCTCGGTTTTGCTCCCTCCCCAACTTAGTTGTGCTCAAGATACTACTTGATAATCATCTCCTCCCTTTCAGCATTTATCATCCTTCCTGTCCCGGCAGTCCAGGTGTTCTGACCAAAGTTGCTATGCATTTCACACAGCAACTCATCCCTGAACATCATCCTTTTACCTCAATGGTTCCAAATTTCTCACCAAGAGTTCTGCAAGGCTGTGTTGTCACAGGAGTTGGAAGGTTCTGCCATAGAAATAAAAGAGCGCATTATTTTTCACCCACAGAAAGAAAAAAGAAATCCCTCATTTTACAGTCCGCATTATGTTAATGCCACAGCTTGATAACATCATTGGTTTAGTGTACCTTTATTCTACTTTTATATACATGCCTGCTTAAGAGCCTCTGCCAGCCAAGTTGCCAGCTCACGGGCTGATAACATCTCATGGTAAACTTTGTATATTTAAACCGAACAACCTACTTTCATACCTAGTTTGGGGGAGGGGGTAGGGAAGGGCTCATGCAATTAGTCCTAACTCAAACAATTTCAGATTAGGGAGGCCTTAGAGACTGTTACTGCTGGACAAGCCATCTATGTACACAGGGTATCAAAGCATAGGGATGTCTTGTAAACTACAGGGGCGACAGTTGGAAAGTCAGTGTTGCCCAGGAATGTCACCGATTTCTCCTACATGAGAATCTGTAGCCAAGTAGCACCAAGCAGGAGTGGGAGAAAGTGCGAGGTAACATTAACAGGATTCAGAACTAGGAAGAGTTTTGCTAACAGCAGAACTATTTTTCTACTTGCCCTCATCCACCTGAATAAAGTCATGAACAAACAGGACCAGAAGGCTATGTACTGCCATATATTCGGGATTTTTCC